CAAAGTGGGGCTTGAACTCACACTCTCATGATCAAGCATCACATACTCTACTGACTGAGCCAGCCAGGCATCCCCAAAATTAAAAATTTTTCAGTCGGTAGAGGATGCAATTCTTATCTTGGGAATGTGAATTCAAGCCCCATATTGGGCACAGAGCTTACTTTAAAAAACAAAACAAAACAACAAAACAAAAAACTTACTTCAACCCAGCAGTGATGTCCTCATACTAAAGACCACCCTGAAGAGACCATGAGCTTTCAATTCTGCAAACATAAACCTACAGATCCTCGCCTAATTAGTCTCTCTCTGAATCACACAGAAAAGGGTATAATTCTCTTGTTACACAAAAACTGGTGAGCACAAGACCCTATAAATTCCTTTTTTAGGGGTGCCTAGGTGGCTCAGCATTAAGCGTCTGCTCAGGTCATGATCCCAGGGTACTGGGATGGAGCCCTGTGTTCGGCTCCCTGCTCAGTGGGAAGCCTGCTTCTCCCTCTCCCACTCCCCCTGCTTATGTTCCCTCTCTCTGTCTCTCTCTCTCTCCGTCAAAAAACAAATAAAATATTTAACATAAATCAACAATAAATTACTTTAAAAAAAAAGAGGTATAGAAAAAAAATGAAAATAAATTAAAATTAAAATTAAAAAGAGAGGGCGCCTGGGTGGCTCAGTGGGTTAAAGCCTCTGCCTTCGGCTCAGGTCATGATCCCAGAGTCTTGGGATTGAGCCCCGCATCGGGATCTCTGCTCAGCAGGGATCCTGCTTCCTCCCCCCTCTCTCTGCCTGCTTCTCTGCCTACTTGTGATCTCTGTCTGTCAAATAAATAAATAAGATCTTAAAAAAAAATTAAATTAAATTAAATTAAAAAGAGGATAGGGTGCCAAAGGAGGGTATTAAAAGGTAAATTTGGGAACTTAAGGAAAAATGTAATTGGCACATATTAATTACAACAAGACAATTATATGAAGCATTTTCTATGTACTACTGTTTTTAGGACCCATAGTTTTGAAATTAGTTTGGTTTACAGTATTTCTCCTTGTAATTGTCCATGTCATCATATAACTTTTATCCAAACTTATATGGACCCATGTAAATTTTATCCATTTATCCACAATCCCTTAACTTCAATTCCAAAATCTAAAAGGCTGTAAAAATAAGATTTTCGTTATTCATTTGGTGGCAAAACCCGACATGAAATGACATGAGGCTATTTATAATATTTATTTATACCAGTTGCTGTGAACATTCTGACATTTTACTATAGCAATGGGAATGTGTTTGATTACAAGGTGCTGCCCTGATCTCTCTGGGACGTTACACAACACACAGTACATGTACCATATTCCTTTTCTAAAATCCCAAAAACTCTATATTCAAAATACATCTGGTCCCAAGAACTGTTGTGGGGTGGGGTGTTTTTTTGTTTTTTGTTTTTTTTTTTTTTGGGCCCCAAGGTACTATAGACTGGTATGCTAATTAAGACTAAGTCTTGGGGCGCCTGGGTGGCTCATCGAGTTAAAGCCTCTGCCTTCGGGAGCGCCTCGGGTGGCTCAGTGGGTTAAGCCTCTGCCTTGGGCTCCGGTCATGATCCCAGTGTCCTGGGATGGAGCCCTGCATTGGGCTCTCTGCTCAGCAGGGAGCCTGCTTCCCCCTCTCTCTGCCTACTTGTGATCTCTCTCTGTGTCAAATAAATAAATAAAATCTTAAAAAAAAAAAAAAAAAGAGCCTCTGCCTTCAGCCTGGGTCATGATCCCAGGGTCCTGGGATGGAGCCCCCTGTCCGGCTCTCTGCTGGGGGGGGGGGGGGGGGCTTCCCCCTCTCTCTCTGCCTCTGCCTGTCAAATAAATAAATCTTAAAAAAAAAAAAAGATTAAGTCTTATACAGAAAATATAACTAATATAGAGAATGAAGGTAGATCTTCAGATCAATTCAATGCTTAACAACTATTCACACATACACAATCCTGTAAAACAAAGCATTAACAAGACTTTTAACAAATGCAAAACTCAAACACACCCTTACATATTTTTTCAAGTGATGGTGATATTTACATCATCCAGTATCTAGATCAATCCTACTTATATTGAAATTCACTAATTTAAATGACAGTTAATATAGACCAAAAGACTGAAATTGGCAATTAAGTTGAGAAAAAGAATCATCCACTGGTAAATAAGAAACTCAGTAAAATGTTCTGATTTTTAAGAAATTTATCTCGGAGGGTTTCATATCTAAAATTATCATTCTAGGGACGCCTGGGTGGCTCAGTCAGTTAAGCATCTGCCTTGGGCTGGGGTCATGATCCCAGTGTCCTGGGTCCTTTGCATCAGGTTCCTTGGCTCAGCAGGGAGCCTGCTTCTCCCTCAGCCTGCCACTCCCTCTGGTCGTGCTCTGTCTCAAATAAGTTAAAAAAAATTGTAAATAAATAAAGTATCATTCTAGAATGCAATTTCTAAACTTTGAACAAATTACAACTGACTTTTTCTGTGAAAGCAGGCCCTTGGACAGGGAGCAACTTAAAGATACCTGAATTGGAAGAAGAGTTTCACAGTTCTTTCCTTCCTTCCTCCTTCAGTTGCTGCTTTTCTAGTTTTAGAATTTCAAACAAAGAAATACATATTGGCTCCACTGCTAAGAAACGCCCTCTTTCTCAGCAACTTCCTCTTCCAATTTTCTTCCCTACCATTGACATATGAGAACAATACACACTGCCGGTCCTACCATTTTGATTAACCAAAAGCTGAGGCTTAGAAAAATTAAGGGCTACAATTTATCATATCCAACTACTAGTCTCTGACTCTAGGTCCACAATCTTCACTCATCTAGAAGTCAGATAACAGGGAACACAAAGAAAGGAAGGAACATCACGCTGCATCACAGGCAGGGTACTGAACCTTGGGTTCCAGGAATCCAAAAAAAATTTGAACAAATGGGAAATTTCTCTCATCCAGAGAAAATTTAGGGAGGAGAAACAGTTACTGGGCTGGCTCCCCTCTGAACCAAGAGTCAAATCTATACACCGACAGTTGGTGAACTTTTACAAGCCACCCATTCAAGATTCAAACTGAGTTCTTTGAGGTTCTGACAACTTTTAAGTAACTTTACAATTTAGAAACGGTCCTTTCCAACTCACAGACTGAAAAAAGGGAATGCACTTATAATTATCCATCCAGAGTTCAAGGTCCAGCCTGTCTCCATACCAGAGGTCAATTCAAGTGTCTGGGACCAGACCTCTCCCTCCATTTGTGACACAGCAAACTTCTTTTAAGTGGATAATGACTTCCCCCTTGTCTGATGATTCTCAAAGGAAACCACCTTGCGATTGGTTGGTAAGTTTTGTGTGACCTTGGACAAGTTACTAAATTTCTCTGAAACTCGGTTTCCTTAAGCGTAAATTCCCAAAAGCGGCTGTAAAAATTAAGAACATAAGCCTAAACAAGGGCTGGCACATAGTAGGAGCACCATAAATGCTTCCCCTCCCACTCCTAACCCCCCTGAATTGTTTGGGGCCTAACTTTCAATCATTGCCCCAAGAGGTTCCAAGGATACTTTCCTCTCCTCCCATGCTATGGAGCCCCAGTGTATAAAACTTTGCCATCTCAAAGGCTCTAGGTCCCTAGAGGACCAAGACAACCAGAGTCTACCTAATTATAGTCTGGGGTCCATCCAGCCTTCATGGAAGAGCCCCCTTAGCCAACTCGTCTCCTTACCCTGCAGAACCATCCTGTACACATACATACATACATACTTACATACATACATATGTCCATACACACACTTACGTACACACAATCCTCTCCGCCACTCCTCGACCCAGCAGGCCACGGATCTCAAAGAGCCCTACAATTCCTTCATGGCCCCACTTTGGAAACTAAAGCTCCGCCTGGAGAACAACTTGCCCGAGATCTCCGAGAACATCTAAGATCCAACTCATGTACAACTGCCTGCAAAGCCTTCGTTTTACAAGTAGGGAAACTGAGGCCCTGAGAGGGAAGTGACTTGCCCAAGGTCACACAGCGACTTAGTGCCAGCGCCAGGCCAGGATGGGGGCACTTTCGCAGCCTCAGAGATTCGCGGGCCCCTCCAAGTCTCCGAGGGGACCTCCAGGACACCTCCTCCCTGGGGAGGGGAGTGTAGAATAAGAGGCCACCCCGCGCTGACCGCTCCCCCGGCCACTGCCGGTCCGCGGCAGGAGGTGCGCCACCCAATCCCCCGGGACCCCGCGAGGCTCGAAGCAGAGGGTGGGGGGGTGGCGGCGCGGCCGGGCCCGGCGCCTCACGGCGGGGCCCGCCCGCGGGGACTTGTTGCTCACCTGGTCTCGTGCGGCCGCCCTCAGCGACAGAGAGGCCTACCAGCCGCCCTTCTCCGCACGGGGTCTGTTCCCGTGGGCCGCCTCCCGGAATGCCACACAGCCAAACCCCCCTCAGCGCGCTACGCCCCCAGCCGCGCTCACCCGGCCCGCGTCCGCCATTACGCGATTCCCCGCCCTGGGACACAGCCACACCCCGCCAACGGCCCTGATTGGCTCTCTGCCCCACCCTCCTGGGGCTTTCGGGCATTCCATTGGCCCGAGTGGAATGCCAGTTAAATAGCTACGCAAAAGACGTACTCAAGGGTACAGTCTGGGGAGCTCCACCCGAGCTACTTCCGCAATCGGAGTAAACAGCGAGAGGGCAAACCAAGTGAAGTGGGGGTGGAGATTAAACTGAATCAATTCCTAAATTCAAGGTAGGAAAATCCTACCTAAGAAAGTGTAAAAACTCCTACAGAGTGTGTTTAAATATGGATTTCACTTGTTAGAGTTCAAACAACCGGGGTTTTTGGTGGAAGGAAGGTGCCAAACCCATGAACTTTCTGCGGATACCCCTCAAGCTACAGATAGTTTTGCCCGGGTCTCGGGCTGGACCGAAAGTAGGGTGGGGAGAGTGAGTCATAGGCTCTGGCCCGCTGCTAAACGAGTCTTCCGGGGCGAGGTCTGGGGTCCTGGGACTGGGAGCTGGTTCTGAAAAGCCGGGGTCAGGTGAGCAAGACCCTGGTCAGGCGTCACCTCATTCTGAGACCTCAGACGACTTCCTGAACTTATCTGGGTCTCAGTTTATCCTTCTGCAAAATAGGAGTAGTCATGTCGGCCTCATGTCCTGGCGTTTTGAAGCTACACGCCTGAGTTGGGTATATGTGCATCTTGTTGATTATAAAAGGCTGCAGCTGGATACCATTTGACAAATTCACAAGTTAGCGAATATCTCTCATTTAGTTCTTTTGAGCAGCTCTGTAAGGCGGATATTGTCTTCATTTTGCAGGAGAGAAAACTGAAAACTTCATGACTTACCCTGGGTCACCCAGGAAATTTGAAACAACCCCAGGACTCAAACTTGTATCTTTTGTCTTCCATTTCTGTATTTCTCCTCCCAGGCCTGGTGACCCCTGAGAAAGACGTTCTTCCACCAATCCTTTAGCATTCCGGGGAGTGTCGTGAGAGTGCCAGTACAGTTCCCCTCTCTCCGGTCACCCTAGGCCCCAGCTGTTTCTAGAGTCCTAGGAATCAGGAGGTGAGTAGGGGATGACAGGTGGGTCAGCAACCCAGACAGAATCCCAAACAAGGACACAGGGGCAGTGACACCACTGTCACTCAATGGTGAGTGGCATTGGCCCTCAGCAGGGCAGCCTCCATGCCAAGACTTAAATCCAGGTCTCTTTGCTCTCAGAACAGGGCTCTTTTCATTACAGGATTGTTTTTCCCAGAAGGGCTGCCTTGGCTGTAATTCCTAGTCCTTTTCCCTCTCTGTAAAGGAAGGAGGCCAAGATGGGAGGGGGAGGGGGAGCTGTCTAAGTCTTCAGAATGGCGGAGACCACCAAGTGCATGGTGCTGAAAAAGCCTCAGTGCTGGCTGAGTCAGTGACCTCCAGGCTCAAATTGGGACATGTGGTCTGACAACCAATGACTATTTAAATCATGACTGTGGCCAATGACTGGGAGACAGCAGGTGCTGTGCAGAAGTCAGTGGCTTCGGGTTAGCCTGACCTGAAATTGAATCCAAGCTCCACCACTTTATAGCTTTTTGAGCCTCACTTATGTCTTCTCTAAAATGGGGACAACAGGGCGTCTGGGTGGTTCAATCGGTTAGGCATCTGCCTTCAGCTCAGGTCATGATCTGGGGGTTCTGGGATCTAGTCCTGCATGGGACTCCTTGCTCAGCAGGGAGCCTGCTTGTCCTCCTCCCTCTGCCTGAGGCACCCCCCCCCCGCTTGTTCTCCCTCTCTCTGTGTCAAATGAAGAAATAAAATCTTTAAAAATTTTCATATATATATCTCCACATCAGTGTAAAAAAATATGTATATCCACATCACTGCTAAAAAAAATTAAAAATTAAAAATAAGATGGGGACAGCAGGGTAGTTGTGAGGATTCAGTGAGTTAATTGTGAAATTAATGAGTCATGTGTAAAAAGTACCTGGTATTTATCTATTCCTTCATGGATTCATCTATTCAGTAAAAAAATTACTAAGTACCGGGGTGCCTGGCTAGCTCAGTCGGTAGAGCATATGACTCTTGATTTTAGAGTCAGTGAGTTCGAGACCTATGTTGGGTGTAGGGTTTACTTTAAAAAAAAATTTGGGGTGCCTGGGTGGCTCAGTGGGTTAAGCCTCTGCCTTCAGCTCTGGTCATAATCTCAGGGTCCTGGGATTGAGCCCCCCATCAGGCTCTCTGCTCAGCAGGGAACCTGCTTACCCCTCTCTCTCTGCCTGCCTCTCTGCCTACTTGTGATCTCTGTCAAATAAATAATAAAATCTTTTAAAAAAAGTTTAAGCACTGATTGTGGATAGGCAGCCTGCCAGTGGTACAGCTACAATGGTGGGCAAAACAGACAGACTCTCATGGAGCTTAGAGTTTAGTGAGGAAGTAAGTCATAAAATAAATGACCAGATGAATCAAAATAGAGTTAGAAACTGGTAAGGAATGAGAAGGCAAAGTACAAGGTGTTTATGAGAGTGCATGTTGGAATGGGGTGGGGCCAGAAGAGGCTTCCTGCAGAGGTGCTATCTCGGGGTGAGTTGGTGAATGGGGCTGAACCAGGCAACTGGTCTTTGGGAGGATTGCAGGCCAAGAGAAAGGCATCCAGGCCAGTTGGAATAGGTGGCAATGGGGAGGGAGGACAGAGCTCATGCAGGGGCCTAAGCAAATGAGGTGTTACAGGGGAGGGAACCTGACTTTGAAATGAGGCTCATTTCCAAGGGTCTGTGTACTTTTCTGGTAGGCCCTGAATACAAGCTTTGAGGCCAACCCAGGGTTTGCATCCTGGCTCTGCCATCTCACTTCAGACTGTGTGACCTTGTCCTGTCACCACTCCTCTCTGTGCCTCATCTCCTTTTCTAAGAAATGGGGATAATGATAAAGTGTCATGGGGGGCAGTGAGGACTCAATGTGGAATGTGTCTAAAGTGTTCCGGCACACAGAATGCCCTCCATAAAAGGTGCTCATTCTTCCCAGCATGGAGGGAGGTGAGCCCGAGGCAGCAGATCCATCAGATAAGTTTGGGAGAGAGCTGATGGAAGCATCCATACACTGGGCAAGTTGTCATCTGACCTTAATTGTTTTGCGAGACTTTGAAGCCAGGCAAGCCTGGGTTCACATCATAACTATAGCACTTTCTAGCAGTGTGACCTTGAGCAAGTAACTTTGCCTCTGTGAGCCTCAGTTTCCTTATCCGTAAAATGGGAATCATAATTGTTTTTAATCTCCCGGAACTGTGAAAGTTAAATGAGATAATAAATGCAAAGCACTGGGGTGCCTGGGTGGCTCAGTTGGTTAAGCGACTGCCTTTGGCTCAGGTCACGATCCTGGAGTCCCAGGATCGAGTCCCATATCAGGCTCCCTGCTCAGCAGGGAGTCTGCTTCTCCTGCTGACCTCTCTCCTCATGCTGTCTCTCTCTCAATAAATAAATAAAATCTTTAAACAAACAAACTTCAAAAAAATAAATAAATGCAAAGCCACAGTGATTGGCACATAGTAAGCAACTGTTAAATATTAACTTTAATAATATTGTCATTAACTCTAACTTTATTAGTAATTTAATAATAATTATTATTGTCAATATCAGCATTACCACCTGTCCTAGGTAAGATTTTGGAGCTTTTGCTTGAAGATTGTCTGACAACAAGAGCCATAGTTTCTCCTTTTAGGCAACGGACATAGACAAGTTGCTTTCTGAGGGGATGGTACTGAACACTTGAGGAATCATATTAATAAGCACTAACACAGAGCATTTCCTATGTGTCAAACACATGCTAAGTGCTGTCCATACATTAACTCATAAATCCTCCTAGTAGGCCTATGAGTGAGGTCCTGTCATTACCGTCATTTTACAAATGAGACAAAAGAAGCACTAAGAGGTTAAATGACTTGCCCAAGGCCACCCAGTCTGCAGGCGGCACAGCTGGAATTCGAACCCAGCCTCTGAACATGAATGGACTTAACTGCGCTTGAGGGTAAGCCCTCCCTCCTCTACCCAAGCAGTTCTGAGGAGTTATCACCGCCGCAGGGATGACATTATCCACTGCCAGTAGCCAAGTCCCAGGCTCTGAAGGCCAAACCCGTTCCTTTCCCACCAGGTTTGAAAAGTAACCCCTGCCTGTTTGTTCCCTGCCCTCTGAGGCAGCTTAGAGCAGGTAACAGACCCTCTTCCACTGCAAGGGAAAGCAAAAAGTCATTTAGAGTCTGAGTCCCAACAGTCTTGGCCAAGTCACACCCCCTGTCGGAGCCTCAGTTTCCTTATCTATGAAATAGGGATGATAGCAGCTTGCTTACAGGGCTGTTGTGAGGAGCAGAAAGAATAAGGCCTGCGTAAACTATGAAGTGCTGTCAGCACAGGCAGGCCTCTCATTGTTGCTATGGAGATGGCAAACACCCTGGGGAAAGCAGCCTAAACCAGTACAGCTGGCAAAATTGCCGTCTCTAGAAAAAGTCCTGGGTTTGAGTCCAGGATCTGCCTGTTACACCCTGTGTGACCTTGAGCAAGTTATAAAACCTGGCTGAGCCTCAGTTTTCTCATCCATAAAATGGAGTGAATAATACCAATTGTACAGCTGGGGCGAAAAACACTGAGGGAATGCATAAAAAGCCATGAACCAATTCCTGGTACAGAGCTGGCAGAACCCAGTGTGTTAAGGGAAGAAACAAATCACAAGGACCATGAAGAATCACAGTGAGCCCCCTTCACCACCCCTGGTTGAGGGGAAGAAGATGGAGACCAGTGTGTTCAGAGCCCAGGACAGTCTGCAGCCACTTCCCTGCCTCTAGCATCATCAGCTCTTGCTGGGTCCACTGCATCTCTCTCTCTCTCCCTCTCTCTCTCTCCTTCTCGTCAAACAAGTTCTTCTCCACTGAGCAATCCCAGGGGGCCCTGAACCTCAGTTCCAGCCAAGCTCACAGGCTTTCCCCGCCTCCACGTCCTTAATCCACAGCCTTTGCATTTGCCATTCCTTCCACCTGGAATGCTCTCTCCTCCCGGAGCGCTTGTGATGGGGAGAGGGGGGTTGCTGAAGGGAAAGGATCTGGAATGATGCTCCCCTTCCTCCTCACTCCACTCCCCTACATCTCCCACGCTGCATGCCTGACCTCCCCCCCCCCTCCCAGCGTGGGGGGATGAAGCAGCATCAGGAGGGGGAGGAAAAAGGGGAGGACTCCATGAAGGGCCCTCTGTGGGGTTTTTCACCTGCTCAGAAGAGGCAGACGGAAATGAAAGCTCTAGAAAAATAAATGCCTGCCGCTCTGCTCCAGAGCCCCCCCCCCCCAGCTCAGGGAAGCCTCCCTGCCTTCCCACTGTGCCATCTTCTCTTCCTCCCCCTCCTGCAGGCAGGTGCCACAGTCAAGGAACATGGGTGGGCTGCAGGCCAGGGAGACATGGGTTCAAATCCCATTCCTGTCCCTTACCCAGTGACTGGCCTGGCCTTAGCAAGAACCTTTGGCCCCCACACACCTCATTTCTCAGTAAAAGGACAAACAGCCCTGCCTCTCAGGTGGCTGGCTGTGAGGGCAAAGTGGGGTGCCAGATGAAAATGCCTGGCACAGCCAAGGTGCTAAGCCATGGGGCAAACTCACAAGCACCATGCGGGCCCGGCCCAGCTCTCAGCACCTTGCAGATACTCGCCCATTGAATTCCCGATAAGGTGGGTACCCTTAATCTCCCCTTTTGACAGATGATGAAACTGAGGCACAGAGAGATGATCTACCTTGTCCAAGGTCACACAGCCAGTGAGAGGCAGAGCTTCATCTCCGTTCTGCCCACCACACTATGGTGCGCTCAGTACTGGCTGTCACGGGTATTGTTGCTTTTTTTTTGTTTTGTTTGATTTGTTCTTATCGGCGCTGACTCTGTGCCCTCAGTGAGTACATGTTATTCTTCCCCCACATTCAAAATCTTGCCTGAAGTTTTCCTCCGTCATGACATCCTCCAGGTTGTTTCTTTAAAGAGCATACATTGCTCTCTCCTCTGGCCAGGCCAACCCAGGGCTCTAGGGACCAGTGATCCATCCACGGAGTCTCTGTTTTTCAGCAGCTCCCAATCTGGTGGGGAAGAAAATACATACATTAAAAAAATATTTGTTTCAAGTTTTTTTAAGTTTAGGGGCGCCTGAGTGGCTCAGTCATTAGACGTCTATCTGCCTTTGGCTCAGGTCATGATCCCAGGGTCCTGGGATCGAGCCCTACTTCGAGCTCCCTGCTTGGTGAGAAGCCTGCTTTCTTTCTCCCATTCCCCCTGCTTGTGTTCTTGCTCTCGCTGTCTCTCTCTCTGTCAAATAAATAAATAAAATCTTTAAAAATATTTGAGGGGCGCCTGGGTGGCTCAGTGGGTTAAGCCTCTGCTTTCGGCTCTGGTCATGATCTCGGGGTCCTGGGATCGAGCCCCACATCGGGCACTCTGCTCCAAGGGGAGCCTGCTTTCTCCTCTCTCTCTGCCTGCCTCTCTGCCTGCTTGTGATCTCTGTCAAATAAATAAATAAAATCTTTAAAAAATTTTTTTTATTTATTTGAGAGAGAGAGAGAGCACAGGTGGTGTGAGTGGCAGATGAAAAACAGGCTCCCCGCCGAGCAAGGAGCCCAATGCGGGACTCTATCCCAGGACCCTGGGATTGTGACCCGAGCTAAAGGCAGAGGCTTAACCAACTGAGCCGCTGAAGTGCCCCTACATACATAAAAATTACCATAAAAAAGGGAGACACCAATTGCAGCAGGAGCTGTAAGCTCACAAAACCCTCAACCTAACACAACTGAAGGATTGAGCAGGTTCACAGAGGAGGGGTCATTTGGGTGGGGCCTTGAAGGGTGAGTAGGAGTTCCTCAGATACGGTCTTTTTTTTTTTTTTTTTTTTTCTTTTAAAGATTTTATTTATTGGGGCGCCTGGGTGGCTCAGTGGGTTAAAGCTTCCGCCCTCGGCTCAGGTCATGATCTCAGGGTCCTGGGACCAAGCCCCTCAAAGGGCTCTCTGCTCAGCAGGGAGTCTGCTTCCCTTCCTCTCTCTCTGTCTGCCTCTCTGCCTGCTTGTGCTCTCTCTCTCTGTCAAATAAGTAAAATCTTTAAAAAAAAGAAAAAAAAGAATATGATGTGTAGTGCAGACCCTGCAAAGGGGACTGGATAAATATAGGTTAGAGAGTAATATATTTTGGGTCAGTTCTGTGCCAGACCCTGTACTGTATATGCTGCAGGTATAGAGGTGGAGAGAGAGTAATTGGGCCCTGAAGATGCTTCCAGACTTGGTGTGGGGCGGGGGGGCGGGGGTGGGGGTGTCCAGAAAGCCACAAGTAAAGCAAAAATATCCGTATTAAAGAAAAACCCAGAGGGGCTTTAAGACTACCTAAAAGAGAACTAAACTTGTCATGGGGTCAGTGAAGGCTTCCTGGAGAGGTGCTGATGTCTAGGCTAAGACTCAAAGAGCAGAGCCCCATGATGTTACCTACCGCCACCCAGCCACAAAAGCAGTGCTGGCGGGGCGCCTGGGTGGCTCAGTGGGTTAAAGCCTCTGCCTTCAGCTCAGGTCATGATGCCAGGGTCCTGGGATCAAGCCCCGCATCATCTCAGTGGGGAGCCTGCTTTCCCCCTCTCTCTCTGCGTACTTGTGATCTCTGTCAAATTAAATAAATAGGGGCGCCTGGGTGGCTCAGTGGGTTAATCCTCTGCCTTCGGCTCAGGTCATGATCCCAGGGTCCTGGGATCGAGCCCCGCATCGGGCTCTCTGCTCAGCGGGAAGCCTGCTTCCTCCTCTCTCTCTGCCTGCCTACTTGTGATCTCTCTGTCAAATAAATAAATAAAATCTTAAAAAAAAAAAAAAATTAAATAAATAAAATCTCTAAAAAAAAAAATTAAAAAAAAAAGTTTTGACTATAAAATAAGAGTAAGAAACCCCAGTAAAGTTCTATTTTTTCCCATGAGTGCTCTTTAAAATTTTTTTTAATTATCAAACATCAAATTAGGTTTTTTTTTTTAAGATTTTATTTATTTATTTATTTATTTGACAGACAGAGATCACAAGTAGGCAGAGAAGCAGGCAGAGAGAGAGGAGGAAGCAGGCTCCCTGCTGAGCAGAGAGCCAGATGTGGGGCTCGATCCCAGAACCCCGGGATCATGACCTGAGCTGAAGGCAGAGGCCCTAACCCACTGAGCCACCCAGGCGCCCCGAACATCAAATTAGTTTAAAAAATAATAATAATAATATTTGGGGGCGCCTGGGTGGCTCAGTGGATTAACCATCCGCCTTCGGCTCAGGTCATGATCTCAGGGTCCCTGGATCTATCAGGCTTCACACAGCAAGGGGCAGGCACCCTGCTCAGCGATGAGTCTGCTCGCCTCCTGCCCCTCCCACCTCATACCCCCCCATAAGTCAATAAATAAAATAATATTTTTAAAAAATAATATATGGATATTTTTTTAGTGTCTCTGCTTTGCTGGTGCCCTAAACAAGTGCTCGGTCTACTGATTGGGTAATCGGACAGGGTGATAGGCCAGAGGGAGTCATCCAGGTGAGAGGTGGAGAGGGGTGTGGAAAGCAGAGGGAATTTCACAGGCAAAGGCCCGGAGGCAAGAGGAAAGATGGCACTTTGAGGAAAAAGGAAACCCTTTGATGAGAGCTGGCAAGTGGGAAGAGGTGGCAATAGAGAATTGGTCTGGATTTTTGGGGACCCGGGGAGGCACGAAAGGGCTTGAACTGGGATACGCCATAATCCAGGGTCCCTTCTGCAAGAGCTCACTCTGAATATTTCTAGAGACCTATTTCCGGTTTGAATCCATTCAGTCCAGAGACTCCGTGTACCTACTAGGCTTCAAGCACTGACCCAGGTGCTGGGGCTGCAGCAGATAATTAAGGGCTTGGCGGGCAGGGACACTGATGGCCACTGGCCAGTGGGTCTGGCTGGACAAAGGCGTGGAGCGTGGAAGGCCCTGCAGAGAGAGAGAGAGAGAGAGAGCCAAGCCCGGTGCCGGACAGTGAGGCCCTGAGGTGGGAGATGCCATTCAGGCTCTTTGCTGTGAAGAGGCCAGAGGTTCCTAAGATAGGAGAATAAAGGAATGAAAACGGGGGCAGAGGCAATGGGCGAGGGGTGTAAAATCCTCGTCTTGTAACCTCCCAAGAAGGCGGCCAAGTAGGCAGAGGGGCAAAAGGCCCAGCCAAGCCCTTCAGACCCCCGTGCTTTCCCAGGCCTGCCAAACCCTGCAGCTTGGCTCCTCGTGGCTCCAGAAGTCAGACCCAACCCTGAAGGAGAGCAGAGGCGGGTGAGGAGGGCGCGAGGGACAGGCCCCGGCCTCTGCCCAGCAGGGCCTTCCCTCCCAGCGGCTGGAGCCAACCGGGCTGAGGAGCCAGAGGTTACAGGGAAGGATTAAGGAGTTGGTTGCTTTTTTACCCAAACTGTGGCTGCATTTCTCTCTCTCTCTCTTTCTTTCTTTCTTTTTTTTTTTTTTTTAAAGAAAAATGTTCCTGTACACGCACCCGGAGGCTTTTGCAGGAGGCGGCTGTTGGAGAACCGGGAAAACAAGCCAAGAAACAAGAGAGAGGAAGAAGACCACGCCTCGCCTGGCAGATTCCTAATGGCCCAGGAGACCTGGGGCTTTACTGTGGGAGGCGGTGGGGGTGGTAAGGGGGGTGCTGGCTCGGGTGGGAGGGAAGGGCAGGCCGAAGGACAGCCACTTGCTGGTCGGTGACCTTGGGCGGGATGCTGCCTGCTTCCCTCTGGTGAGAACGGGGAGGAGGGGGGCAGGGGCAGGGCTGTCCGGCTGAGGTCACAGGAAGGCCCCTTCCAGCCTGAAACGCGATCTCGGGATGTGGGGCCTGCCAACCTGCAGCGACCCTGGGCCAGCAGAGATGAAAGGCTGCCTGTCCCCAGCTTCCGGACCCCCGAGGCCCCAGTGCCTCAGACTTGAAGGGCAGCAAAGCTGCTGCAGCTGGCTGGAGCCGGTTCCTGGACTCCCCACCCCACCTGATGTCATCCAACCCTCCCTTCCCTGTTTGGCTGGGGACCCTCAAGCCCAGAGAGGGCTGTTGACCTACCGGAGGTCACACAGCAAGTTGGAGGCTGAGCCAGGGCTCATCACAAAGTCTTTGGGCTCCAAGTCCAGTTCGAATTCCCTTTCCCAGAAACTTGGCTGCCTGGGGCCTTACCCCAGGGAGTGGGAGAGACCCAGGGTTAGGGGAGACAGTTGGAAGCTGTGTCCTTTGAAGTTAAGTCTTAATGTTGACTAAAGTGCTTTTCTTTTCCTTCTTTCTCTCTGTCTCTGTCTCTCTCTCTCTCTCTCTTTTTTTTTTTAAGACAAAAAAGAACGTTTCAGGCCCCTGCCATGAGCCTGGACTTGCTCTGTTGGCAGGGGAAGGAATGCAGCTCTGGCCGCCACAGCCGCTGGTGGCCAGCTGCAGCCTCCGCTCCTGCCGCTCCCACCCCAGTGGGCTCGGGGACAAAGGCCTCTTCTCAGGCTGATCCCCTCCAGCTCCCTGGATCAGTGGTGGCAGAGCATCGACCCAGAGGCTTGGTTACAGACCAGCTAAGACGCCGTCCCTCTCTGGGCCATAGTGCCCTTTCTAGAAAATGGCAGCCAAGGATTTGCCTGACCTACTTCTCAACATTATGTGGGGGCTCCAAAGAGGTAAAGTTACAGAAATACAGACCTCTCTCGGCGCCTCCTTCTGCCTGAGGGTCTGCCCACTAAGACAGCCCTCTGCCTCACCCGACCCCCCCCCCCCCCCTCCTCGAGCTTCACCTGGCCAGGCCCAACTCACTCAGCTCGGCTCAGCAGGACCGTCCCTCGCTCTGGGGAGCCTTCCCTCACCTCCAGACCGCACTGCTCCTTCAGGGTATTTATCACTGTTATAATTAAATAATTAATTGTGTAATTGCATCTGTCTCCCCACTACAATGTGAACTCAAGTAATAGCTGACACCCAATGCTTACCCAGTACCGGGGACCTTACCGGGGACTGCCCACTGAGTCCCTGTGGCAGGGACTGTCCATTCCCCTGTCTTATGGATGAGCCACCTGAGACAATGAGAGGTTTGGTGACTTACCTGAAGTCACAGCCAGCTGGAGGTTTGTCCAGGACGGAGAACCAAAGAGTTGCAGAACCGGGATTCAAATCCAGACCCCAGGCTGTAACCATTACCCCTCGAATAAGGCAGGCTGAGCTTGTTCCCCACTCCTCCCCAGCTCCCAGAACAGCCGGTATACAGTAGGTGCTCAGTGTGAATGAATACACAAACAGATGAGGAAGATACATTTTGGAGAAGAACAAAGCACCTTCCAGGAGTGAGTTTTGCAGGTGCCAAGTGTGGAGCTGAGCCATGGTTGGGGGACAGGGTGCCCAATAAATTGTGAAAGACCAATTATTGGCTTCCCTCTGGAGGGCACACTTGGGCCAGAAGCCCCGGAGGCCATCTTTGACAACTCCTTCCATCTCATCCCCAAGTTCTGCTTGGTTTCTCCTCAGTGCACCTCCTCTTCTCCATCCCTCAACTCTCATCTCTTTCTTGGATTTTTTTTGAGTAAGTTCTCTACCCAATGTGGAGATTGAACTCATGACCCAGAGAATAAGAGGCACATGCTCTACTGACTGAACCAGCCAGGCCCCCTTTTCTTGGATTTTTGTAGCAACTGCTTTACAGGTTTCTCCATCTCTAACTTCTCCCCCTTCAAAGTGGGCTCTCAGTGTAGAAAGCTGAGTGCGGGTGCTGTCCCTCTTTACCCCCTCCTTCACTAATGAGCCTTCCATGGCCCCATGGCTCTCTGGATAAAGCCCATCCTCCTCACTAAGGCTTCTGCCACCAAGCCCTGCCTCCACCCCTCCAGTTTCCCCCCCTACCCCCACTCCTGCACATGTCCTCTGTTCAAGCCACTCTGTGTAGTAGATGTTAAGAGCACGGAAGCAGGGGTGCCTTGGTGGCTCAGTGGGTTAAACCTCCGCCTTCGGGTAGTGATCTCAGGGTCCTGGGATTGAGCCCCACATCAGGCTCTCTGCTCAGCGGGGAGCCTGCTTCCCCATCTCTGCCTGCCTCTCTGCCTACTTGTGATCTCTCTCTTTCTCTCTGTCAAATAAATAAATAACTAAAATCTTAAAAAAATAAAAAAAAAGAAAAAGCACAGAAGCAGAGAGACCCGGGTTCAAGTCTTGTTTCTGCCAGTACAGCCGTTGAGAGTCTGTAAGCAAATCACTTCCCCTCTCTAAGCCTTGAGTTACTGCATCTAGAAAATGGGCATTATTCTAATACCTACTTCACAGAGTCATTGTAAGGAGTCAATGAATACAGAAGGTATTCTGAGCCCAGTATCTGACATCAGAAGGTATTGGCTGAGCCCAGTATCTGACATCCACAATGGTCACTATAATTCTTATACTCTCCACTGCCACAAAGAGCATTTCTTTCTGTGTTTTACTTATTCTTTATGACCCAGCTCAAATGTCACCTCTTAGAGGAAATTTTCCTTGATATTCACACTCTGTTCCGCAGGTGAAGTCAGTCTCACTTTCTATACTTGCTTGCATTTGCTCCTCTATAAAGCCCTTGTAAATTTTGCTCTCTCTTTCCCCCATTACCCCAAGATTTCCTGGAGAGGAGGAATAAATACCGTTTTCCTTAAGGCCCTGCCCAGCACGCAGCAGGTGCTCAGTAAATGTTGGTTGAATTGAAGGGGGTCACCGTGGCTTGGTGACCACCTTGCAGGGAGAAGGCCTGAGTGGTGAGACAGCTGGAGTCTGTGGGGGCCTGGTGCTGGGGATACTGGTGGCAGGGAGTGGCAGGTGGAGGGGGCGAAGGAAACTCCTGACCTCTGGGCTCTTCCTTGTGAGACCCTTTAGTCCTCCAAGGAAGGGAAAGAGGGAAGAGGATATGAGTAGGTCCAGGTGCTGAGCGGGGGTGAGGTGGGTGGGGCTGTAGCAAGAGCTGGGGCGTGGGTGGGAGCTGGCAGACTCCAGCTCCTCTAAGACCCGGGCTGGGCCTGGCAGGACAGGGCCTCGCAGCCCAAGTCCCCGCCTGCCATACCCAGCCTCATCCTGGCACCTGGATTAAGTGACTTTTCAAGTTGTAAAGCTACATCTTGATTTGCAAGGAAGCAAAACCCAAGCCTGGCTTTGTCTTATTGCTGAGCAGGGAGAAAGGGGGATGTTCCCTTTCATTTGTGGTTCTACATAGACTATATCTTGTAGTCCTGGGCACATCAAAGAGGGTAATTCTTGATTTTGCAAACCCAGGTGACGGTCATATTATCCCTAACTGTTGTTTCAATTGCTGCTCCTGCCACTCCCCCTACTAAAAACCCTTCTCTTGGGACGCCCCGGCTGGCTTAGTCAAAAGGGCATGGGATGCTTGATTTCGGGGTCGTGAGTTCAAGCCCCATATTGGGTGTAGAGATGACTTAAATTAAAAAAACAAAGAAAAGAAAAAAGAAAAAAAGAAACTTAAAAAACCCTTCTCTGCCTGCCTACCACTGTCAGGATAATCTCCTAGTTCCTAACCCAGCTTATAACGCCCTGGCCCTGGCTTGGACCCCTACCTCCTCTTGGATTTTCTCACACTTCACTCTCCCCCTGCCTTTGCTTCTTCTGGCCTTTTCTCAGTTTTTCTAACATACCTTGCCTCTTCCTTCCTCTGGGCCTTCACACATTGTTTTCTGTGTCTTGAGTGCTTTTCCCCATCCCCTGACAATTCTGTTTTATGTTTAGTATTTTTGGTCCCTAGGAAATTTTTGCCTATCCCAAGATCATGGAAATATTCCAATACATCTTCTTCTAGAAGCTTTATAGTGTTAACACATTTAGGTTTGTGATTCATCTTGAATTCTTATTTTTTTTAAGTAAGCTCTACGCCCAATGTGGGCTCAAACTCACAACCCCAAGATCAAGAGTCACACGCTCTACCGCTGAGCCAGCCAGGTGCCCCATCTTGAATTAATTTTCGGGCGGTGTAAGGTAGGGGTTGGGAATTATTCCTGTTCTCTAAATACCTGGTCACTCTGGGGCGCCTGGGTGGCTCAGTGGGTTAAGCCACTGCCTTCGGCTCAGGTCATGATCTCAGGGTCCTGGGATCGAGCCCCGCATCAGGCTCTCTGCTCAGCAGGGAGTCTGCTTCCCTTCCTTTCTCTCTGCCTGCCTCTCTGCCTGTTTGTGATTTCTGTCTGTCAAATAAATAAATAAAATCTTTAAAAAAAAAATTAAAAAAAAAAAAACCTGGTCACTCTGTACAGTTCAGCTTATCCCTCACTTCCTTTGAGGCACCTTCCCTGACTACCCCGATGTGAGCTAAGGGCTATTCCACAGCACTTAGCACCCTCTACTTTCATTGTAGCGCTTGTCACAATTGTAATTAATCAATTATTGGTGTAATTAGTTAACATCTCACCTCCTCTACTATACTGTAGCTCTGTAAACTCAATGCTTGTGACTGGTTTTTTTAAAAAAAATGTTTTTAGGGGCACCTGGGCGGCTCAGATGGTTGGGCGTCTGCCTTCAGCTCAGGTCATGATCTCCAGGTCCTGGGTCGAGTCCCACATCAGACTCCCTGCTTCATGGAGAGTCTGCTTCTCCCTCTCCCTCTGCCTCTCCCGTTTGCTTGTGCTCTCTCTCTTTCTCCCTGTATCTGTCTCAAATGAATAAATAAAATCTT